TTTTTTCTTTCTTTCTCTTTCTTTTCTTTCTTTCTTTCTTCCTTCCTTCTTTCCTTTCTTTCTTTCTTTCTTTTCTTTCTTTCTCTCTTTCTTTCACAACAGTGGCGTTTCAACTCCAGGCCTTGCATCCGCTAGGCAGGCACCCTGCCCCTTGAGCTACACCTTCAGCCTTTTTTGAGTTATTTTTAAAATAATGAGTACCACACTTTGGCTCCAGCTAGCCACAATCCTCCTACCTATGCCTCCTGAATAGCTGGAATTACAGAGATGCCCCCACCACATCCAGCCAGTCTGTTAAGGTAGGAGGGATCTCATGACCTTTTATTTTTGGCCAGGGATTGGCTTTGAATCTTTCCTTCTAAATAGCCAGGACTACAGGTATGAACTACTAGCTTAGCACATCTTAAATATTCTTGACCTAGGCAGCCAGCACCTACTGCTGCACCTGGGGAAGTATCTGAGATGAGCTCAGGTGAGGCTCTCACTTGGTCTACAGACTACCCAGACATTCCACCAGAGGGTGCCATGGGACAGGTTTAAACACTCCAGGCCTCCTGAGCCTCCAGAGGGCATCTGTGGGTAGTTCATTAGCCAGTCCAGAGCTGAAGGCTTGGAGTTTGGTCACCTTAACCTTCTCAATGCAGATGTGCAACCAGGTGGCACTGATTGGGGGCACAGTGACATTGGCAACACCAAGTTAGGTTAGAGGCAAAGCGAATGAAGTGGCTTGAGTTTTAGAGCTGAAAGACATCTTTAAGAGAATCTCTCCATGCCCTTTTGTTTTTCAGAACACAGGCAGGCCAGGAGAGAGCATTGCCCACCTACCAGAGATGGTGAAGGGACTTTGGAGGCTCCCCTGAGGCACAGCATGACTCAAGGGACAGAATTAGGCAGAAATACCCCCTCCCCCAATCAGACTGCTAAGGGGGTGGGGAAAACCAAGAACATGTGGCTTCTAGGGCTACTTCTCCCTCAGTATTTTACTAGCACAAGGAGCTACTTTCTAGAGTTTGTAGGGCTTAGGGCCGGGGATGAGTGTATACCTCACCTCCATAGAGCTTCCCATGAGCCCTCAGAGAAACAGAAGTATTCTATCTAGACCTACCCCAGAGAGGGTGAGGGTCAGAGCTACAGGAAGTACTCTGTGGGGGCCAAAAGAGGGTCACAAGGCACCCCAGCGCCCAAATACAATGGAATGGAAAAGCTCTTTATGATAAAACAAACATGCCCAGGACATATTGTTAAGAGAAAAAAAAAGCAAAGGAAATGTTTCTAATTTTCCATCACTGTATAAAAAATAAGAAAAGGGCTGGGAAGTTGGCTCAGTGGTAGAGTGCTTGCCTTGCATGCATGAGACTCTGGGTTTGATTCCTTAGCACCACAGAAGCAGAAAAAAGCCGGAAGTGGCCGGGCGCTGGTGGCTCATGCCTGTAATCCTAGCTACTCAGGAGGCTGAGATCTGAGGATTGCGGTTCAAAGCCAGCCCGGGCAGGAGAAACCGTGAGACTTCTATCTCCAATAAACCACCAGAAAACCGGAAGTGGCGCTGTAGCTCAAGTGGTAGAGCGCACGCCTTGAGCTGAAGAGCTAAGGGACAGCGCCCAGGCCCAGAGTTCAAGCCCCACAACCGACAAAAAAAAAAGAAAAAAGCTGGAAGTGGCGCTGTGGCTCAAGTGATAGGGCACTAGCTGTGAGCTGAAGAGCTAAGGGACAGGGCCCAGTCCCAGAGTTCAGCCCCCACAACCCACAAAAAAGAAAAATGAGAATGTCTGTTTATGTTTGCATAACTAAATTACAAAAGGACTAAAGCCCAGGCCTGAAAAACAGCATTTACAGGATAGAGGGGGCAGGATGGAAGGACTTGGCAGGGAGTGAGACCACTCTGCAGACAGGAGCAGACTGCTTGATCTCTGATCATATAAAGGCCTTACAAAGGCTAAGCTTTGGTAAAGTGCATACTGAGGTCACCATAATGTTTCCAGAGCTCTGAGATGCTGTTATGTCACAGGGTGTGATGTCTTTGGGGGAGGACAACTCACCAACATACTGCATCATACAGGAGAAAACCCGTACCTTCCAGCTCCCTCTAGGCCTGAGTCCATCCAAGAGTCTGAGTGAGGGGTCTCACAGGGGTCTGCCCCTGTGAGCTGACCTGAGCAAGGAAAGCAGCACTCATATCAGGCTGAAGGCCTTTGATGATCATAGGGGCACTATTTTCTCTCCAATGGATCTACTTGTATAGACACCTATGATAGCAATGTGAGGCTTCCTTCTAAAAATTAATTGGCTGTTTTAAAAACTTAAGTATATCCTTCAGGATGCTGGTGGTTCACACCTGTCATCCTAACTATCCAGGAGGCTGAGATCTTGTATACAAGAAACTTGTATAGCCAATTAACAGGTAAAAAGCCAGAAGTGGAAGTAGGGCTCAAGTGGTAGCATGCCAACCTTGAGTGAAAAAGCCAAGTTACAGCTGAGGTCCCAAGTTCAAGCCCCAGTACTGGCACCAGAATAAGAAAAAATGTTAAATACATCCTCACACCCCTGCTTTGTGGCTATGGCAACACTATCAAGTGCTAGCCTGGGGCCCGAACACTTGCTAAGGCTTCCTGGGGATTGATGCACTTGATCCTCACCCTTAGGAGCTGAGATGAAAAGACTGAGGCAAGCTGATTGACCAGAGTTGGAACTGGAACTAACACTAGCAAGGGTCCGCACCAAAGCAAGCTGGGGCGGGATAAATACCTTCCACCCCAGCTCCACTGCCTGCCTGGGTGCAAAGGCTGCTGTCCGGCTCCATTTTCCAAACTCTGAGATGCTAAAGCTGTCTGGGTCCCATACCCTACCCCAGAACCAAAGGACCAGACACCTCTCCCCCCCCACACACACACACAATCTCTCTCTCAGTGGGGCACTGACGTTATCACTCTCTGCCTCTGCTTCTGGGCCCTGAGTGGTGGCACAGGACACAGCTGTCTTGCCCCCTTGTATGCCACTGGCCCCAAGGGCTCTCTCTCCCTCCAGCTTTGGCCCCAGAGCCCTTTGCCACCCCTGTCTTCATCCCTGGATCATTGGAGGGGTCCCTGGAATCCTCCCCTTGTCACCTGCAGTGGAAACCCAGTGCTCAGAGATGCTGGGAAGCCCAAGGCCACTGAGCCAGGCAGTGGCAGCTAGTGTCTGTCAGCGCCCTCAGCCTCCAAGTGCTGACCCAGCAGTTGGTGAAGCTGCGCAGATGTGGCTGCAGCCACTTGAGTTACCTAAGTCACACAAGAAGCCTTTGGTCTCTAGGAACCCAGCCAGGCAGTGGCATTGCTTCCTGACCAGCTGTGAAGGGGATCGCTGGCATCAAAAGCCCAAGGCCACCCTAGCAGAGGGGCTCGGTACCTGCAACATGACAGCCACTCTGGGGCTGAGCCTCTGGTGCAGCATCCGTGCAGAGGAGGTTCAGGCTGCAGCAGCTGCCCCTTTCCACAGACCTCTGTCCCTCTCACCAGCCACATCTGGGACCCAAAAGGATCCAACAGGCAAGCAGGGCCCAGGAGGCTGAGGGAACCATCTAAAGTCTTAGGCCCACACAGCCAAGTAGGGGTCTCTGGTCCTTAGGTGGCCATAGGCAAGGGCAATTTTCCTCCCATTCTCAAAAGGGCAGAAACTCAGACACCCCCTTCCAGGCTTCCCCTATGGCCTTAGAGCTAGAAGTCCCAGTCTAAAAGACCTCCAGCCCGGTGCTGGTGGCTAACGCCTGTAATCCTAGCTACGCAGGAGGCTGAGATCTGAGGATCAAGGTTCAAGGCCAGCCCAGGCAGGAAAGTCTGTGAAGACTCTGACCTCCAATAAGCCACTAGAAAACCGGAAGTGGTGCTGTGGCTCAAGCGGTAGAACACTCGCCTTGAGCTGAAGAGCTGAGGGATAGCGCCCAAGCCGAGTTCAAGCCCCACGACCGAAAAAAAAAAAAAAGAATAAAAATAAAAGACCTCCATTCTGGTCCCAGCATCTGGGAGAGGACTCCACAGGGAACTGGCAACGTGGGAGTCCCCATTTCCTGTGGAATCAGTCTTGGGGTCTCCCTCAGGGGAGATGGGAATGTGTGTGCCCTCATCTCCAGGGCCACTGGAGGGTGGGAAAGGGCAGCTTTGAGAACTACTGCATGGAACATGCACAGGGAAGGGGACAAGGAGACTGAGCAGCAGGAGAATGCTGACCAGGCAGGGGCACCCCATAAGGGTCTGCACAAGGCCACCAGGAGCAAAGCCTGATGGGACACATATTCCCACCCACAATTACTGCCGGTGTAGGAGGGGGTCTTACCGAGGGGGCTCTGGACTACAGGTGGGGCAGCACCTGGGCTGCTCACAGCCCTGTGGCTGCACAACTCCAGAGGGAGCCTCCCTGCACTTCACAACCTCTGCTCCTTCAGAGTCAGGGTCAGGCATCCCTGGTACTTTCTGATCCCAGGCTTGAGAAATGAGGCAGAGATGAGTCCAGGAATCAAGGAGGTGGGGCTGCTCAAGGGTCAAGGGTCAGACCCCAGGCCCCCAGAGTTTAGTCAGAGTCTGGAGCTCAGTCAACAGCCAAGACATGCGGGCCATCTCCTGATGAAATGAGGGGTAGGTACCCAGGCAGGATGCTGGAAACCCAAGGAGCCACTGTCTCCACAGTGAAGACACGGGATGGAGGCTGAGATGAGTTTCAGCCCTGAATTTGACATGCCTCTTTACATGTTAGGAGACCTGATGAGGGGAGGTGGTGGAGGGGGACGCAGGGCAGGAAGTCTCATGACTGCTAGGCCGGAGCAGTAGGAGCTTAGGGACCAAGGCAGGACTGGACACTAGGCTCCCATGCCTAGAGCTCAGAGTGGCTTCTGAGAACTAGACCCTACCCCAAGAAAGACCTAGCACCCCCTTCCTTTCCATGCTCAATTATCTCCAAGAAATAATGACAGGAAATGATGCTTTGAGAAAGGAGTCCTGCTCTGATGCCACAAAGCTCCCAAAGGAATGTCTATGATAAAGGTCACCAACCCCACAAGGGCAGTGTGGATACAGGGCCTGTGGAAGAAGTTGCTGGAGCAGGGCCGCAGGCCCAGGAGGGTCAGCATCACCTCGGTCCTCCATATCCTCCCCAGGCCTGGCCATTCCATGTGTCCGTTCCTTGGAGGGTCTTCAGTGGGTAACATACAGGTACAGAGCAGGGGCAGTCCTCAGGCTCACCAGCCTCTTTCTGATTTTCTGTGGGCCAGAGCCACCCAGCATCATCTTCATTGTCAGGGCTTCCAGCAGCCCCAGAGATCCTCTCAGAAAAAGCAGGGCTCCCTCACCCCCACATACCCCCATTTAGGGATGGTTTCTACAGCCCGGATCCTACTGAAAAAAAATCTCAGAATCAAGATCAAAGCCAGATGCTGCACTGCTCTCCAAACCCTACCAATCCCAAACCACTTTTACCATGTGGAGCCGTTGGGTCATCTACCAACTTCTTTACATGGCTCGTTGTTTTACTTATTTATTGAAAATGTCACAATAAATAGAATGCCAGGTCCCCTTGTCATAAGTAAAAGGTAGCCAATACAAATACACTGCTATAAAAGTCTGGAAAGGTCTCTCACTTGCCCTCAGCCCACCCTGCTCCTAAGGAAAAGCAGTACGTCACACCAGCACCAAGTTGAGACTTTCTTCTTGGCATAAAAAGAGTACATTGGAACAACTCCTTTCAAACTGTGGTCCTGCACCTCTTAAATGGAGGTCCTATATCCCCTCATAGAATCTCTGAACTAGGGCACCCACTCCATATCTGAGGGATGCTAGGCTAGGTCTCCCTCTGCCTCATGCTTAATAATGTGAGAAAGCCCACACCACACCCCTCTAGTCCCCTCCCCCAGAGCTGACTCTCACATCAAATCCAGCAAGTCCCTCTCACACACTCCCTGTCGGCCCCAGTGGTCACCGCTGGCTCAGGTGAGACACCAGGTAGACAAGGCCCACCAGCAGGAGGCCGCGAACTCCAAGCATCATGAGCAGGAAGAGCAGCAGGATGGAGGTCACTGGCTCCACGGCATGGTTACCCAAGTGCCACTGGGGGAAGCCCATGTTCACCAACTGTCTGTTGAGGTCATTGAAGGGCGACTGGGCAGCACCAAGCCTGGCACCTGCTTGCTGCTGCTGCTGGCGGGGCCCAGGCCCCCCTGGAGGGGCACCATGACCCCTGTTGAGAAAGCCCTGGAAGGTAAAGACAGATGAATGAATCCAGAGAAAGCTGCCATGGAACTGAGGCACCAACAAGGTGGGGAGTCCAGCTTGAGACCAAGAGGGTCCTCTCCTCCTCCATGGCCACTCTGGGCCACGATCTCCTTCTCAGGATGTCACAAGCTCTCAGAGCACAGAAAATGCCAGTGTGTTGTCCCCAGGTCACGCCCAGGGAGAAGGTTCCCAGGACAGAGCTGGGAGAAAGTGGTGGCAGCAGGGGAAATGAGAGGGCCTGGTCCTTGAGTACATCTTTAGTTCCCTCCAGAGCAAGTGTCCTGGGGTCCCATGTTCATCTCCTCCACATTCTGAAGTTTCTCACTCCTCTCAAAGACTCTCAAAGTCAGATGCTGGCTCCAGTTGGTGTCACTACCAAGTTAAAGGATACATGGACCTCAGGTCTGAACTGGAAGGCTGACTTGGAGGAAGAAGACCTGGGTAAGTATGGACCAGGTAAAAAAAATCCCTTCATTCTTCCCAAGCCTTGACCCTCTAGCTCCCCAGCTCTGCTCTCTGCAGAGCTACAGAAGGTTAATGAGCAGCAACAGAAAGCCAGCTGCCCCTCCCCAAGGGATGGGTACCTACCTGCCGAGGAGTGCTCCCTCTCTGCGATGTAGTAGTCCTCACACGGGGGTCATCGTCCTGAACAATCTCCCCATTGGCCAAGATTCGCACCATCCTCCTGGGAGCAGTGGGTCCCTACAAAGCCTGGACACCTGCAATGCACAGCCAGGGGCCCAGAGGTCCAGTTCCCCCAATGACCAGGAATTCTTAGTCTCTGGCTGGTATCTGAGGCTCATGTACAATCCTCACCTTGACCTCAGTGAGCCTGGAGGAAACAGCCTGCTGTGCAGACTGATGATTGGTGACCCACCCTGAGCAGGTACTATGTCCCAGCAACAAGACAAGCAAGGGAGATGCAAGCTGTAGGGTTAAAAATCTCACACTGACTGAGTCCACTAGGGGAACTGCCAAAAGGGTTGTGGAGTCCCAAGTTTGAAGCTTGGGTTGGAATCCGGGGCTCCTCACCCCTTCCTGGCCAGCTTTGTGCGGTGAATGTGGCCATGCACAGCTCGATGCCTTGAGGTTTAAATGGCTCATGAGGAAACTCTTGGCAGCAGAGAAAGTGCCCTAAAGCCAGGCACCAGTGGCACATACCTGTAATCCTATTTCAGGAGGCTGAGATCCGAGGATCAGGGTTTGAGGTCAGGCCAGGCAGGAAAGTCTCCATGAGACTCTTATCTCCACTTAACAACTCAAGAGAACCAGAAGTGGAGCTGTGGCTCAAAGTGGTAGAGCACTAGCCTTGAGCAAAAGAGCTCAGGGACAGAGCTCAGGCCCTGAGTTCAAGCAAGCCCCACGACCAACTACAACAATAAAAAGTGGCCTGGGCCCTTTGCATTCAGGCCTCTCTGGGTAGAGAGAGATCAAGACATCCCATCTCCACTGCCCCCATTTCCCTCACCTTTAAGGATGAGTCCTAGGTACTGCTGCCCAAGAAGCAAAACACCAGGGACCTGAGCCTTCTTCCAGGACCCTCCCAGGCGGTGGACACCCCTCCATTCCAGGCCCCCTGCCTGGCACGGCCCACGCTGGCTGCAGGCTTCCTAGGCCAAGCCGGCTGGGCTGTGGTGGGCACACCCCACTTCCCTCGGAGGGCAGAGCTCAACCTACCCAATATATGCGGTGCGGGGTGTTGCGCGTGACCGGGAGGGGGGAGGGACTCTGCTCTGGGGACCCCCAAGGGCTCCACGGGCTGGGGCCCCTGGCCCCGCGCCCCTCTCCTGGCATCTGGATGACAAGGCCCCGTCCCCATGCGCCAGTTTGTATCTCAGTACTCAGAGTTTGCACCTAAATACTCCGGAGCGCTGGGGGGGCAAAAGGGGGGCCTGGTTCTCCCGCCGATGACCCGGGGCCGGGTACGGAGGGGACCCTGATGCCCGGCCCGCACGCAGCCCCGGGAGGGTCGGGGTCCCCCCTGCGGAGTCCTGCGCTCGGTCACCCGGCCTCGGAGCCGGGGCGACGGCCGGCTGTCCAGACGCGGCCTACGGGGCCTGACGCCAGCCTGAGGCCGGGCCCGCCATGCAGGGCCCGAGGCCGCCCGTCCCCGCGCCTCCCCCGGCGGGGACACCCACCTGCGGGCGCGGTGCGAGGCCTCCGCGGAGTCCGCTCCCGTAGCCGCCGCGGCTTCCGCCCACCTGACCTCACAGGAAGCGCGCGGGCGGGGCGCGGCCGGCGGCCCAGCGCCCTCTGTCGGCCAAGGCTGGGAACTGCAGCGGTCAGGGCCGGCGCCGCGGTCTGGGGCGGAGGAGAGAAAGAGGAGGGGGAGAGGAAGGTGAGGGAGGATGAGGAGTGAAGACAGGAGGAAGACGGGGGAGAAGAGGAAGGGAAGGAAGCGGGAAAATCCCAGGGAGTGGGGTGCCCCTAACCTGCAGTCTGCCTGTGCCCACCAGAGGCAGGGTTGGCTCTGGATGCTCCTAACGCAGGATCAGCCCTGCCCTTCCAGAGCTCAGGATGCAGTGGACTAGTCAAGGCAGGTAGCCACCTGCTGCAGGCTTCCCCGAGGAGGTGCTTTGGGGCTGGAGCCCCGAAGGGTAGGTAGGAATTTGCCTGTTAAGCAAATAGGGAGAGGACTCCTGGCTAAAGCAGCCTTCTAGAAGGAGTGGACAGGCAGCCTCTGCCTTCCCCTTCCAGCCATCCCTTCTGCCTTCATGCACGGTAACCCACAGAGGACCTGCTCACACAGCTGGCCAGGAGGGGCTGAGCAGGCTGTTTCCTTGGCTGTTCAGTGCCCAGCCTCACAGGATTGTCCTAGGGTAGGAGGGAAAATGAGCAGAGTAAGACATATACCCTAGGCTTCAAGGCCTCGTGGGCTGCTGCCATAGTTTAATTGTTGGATAATAAAGCCATAAGGACAAGAATACATTGTACAGATCCCCCTGAGATCTGTAACTTATTTTTGTATATCTTTTTTTTTTTTTTTGGTCAGTCATGGGGCTTAAACACAGGCAGGGCCTGGGTGCTGTCTCTGAGCTCTTTTGCTTAAGGCTAGCACTCTACCACTTTGAGCCTCAGTTTTTGAGTGGTTATTTGGAGATCAAAGTCTCACAGAGACTTTTCTGCCCAGGATGGCTTGGAACCGCGTTCCTTAGATCTCAGCCTCTCCAGTAGCCAGGATTACAGGTGTGAGCCACCAGCACCCAGCCTCCTTCATTTACATTTAATAACTCATACAGGAATGACAAAATGGTGAGTGGGTAGACAGAGCAAACCTTACATTGGGATCAATGATAGAGTTAAAGTACAGAACAGCTGTAAAAGGATGGTCTCGTTCAGAAGTGATATTCAGGTCTTAAGTTGGATCCCTACCTACATACACCTTTACCAAAAATTAATTCTAAGTGCATTATGTACACCTAAATATGTACAGAACAAAAAATTCAAATATGAATAATATATATATGTGTGTGTGCATATTCTACACCTCTGAGTAGAGGTCTTAACATATTATTAAAAATATTGTCAGCCATATAGGATTAATAAACTTTATTTCATTAAGTTTACATTAAAGTTTAGAACTCCTATTTATCAAAGCACTATTTTGGTTTAGGGGGCTTTTTGCTTCTTTGTTTTTGTAATATTAGAGACAACCCAGGGCCTTGTATGTGCTAGACAAGAGCTCTACCAACTTGAACCACATTTCCCAGCTGTAGACATTCTTTGTTAGAATTTAGGTGCCTCATGCCTGTAATCCTAGCAATTTAGGAGGCTGAGATCTGAGGACTGCATTTTGAAGCTAGCCCAGACAAGAAAATCTATGAGATTCCTATCTCCAGTTAATGAGCAAAAAGTCAAAAATGGAGCGTGTGGCTCAAGTGGTAGAGTACTAGCCTTGAGCAAAAAAGCCCAGGGACGGTACCCAGGCCCTGATTTCAACTCCCAGGGCTGGCACTAAAAAAAAGAAAAAGTAGAATTTAGCCCATGTCTTCTTGACCTCATGTGCTAAGACAGAACATCATGATGGCCTAAATGTATCGAAGAGGAGAGGCGCTCTCCTCATGATGAACAGGAAGGAGAGAGTAAGGAGGGGACTGAGGACTCAGTACAGCCTTGAAATGACCTGCTTCTTTTAAGTAGTCTCCACATCCCAAAGTTTCCTCAAATGTCCATCCATTATGTCCCCCAATACTGGGGACCAGGCATTCAACACTTGAGCCTGTGGGCTACATTTCATATTCAGACCACAATTGATAGTACAAGGGTAAAGAAAATCAAAGACATGATCACAGAGTTATAGTGCTTAACTCTAGGGGAGAATGAGGGACTTTACTCAGCAATTTTTTTCAAAAGCCTGCACATAATGGAGAGGTCAGGTTATAATGTGCTAGCATGCTCAACTTCTTGGCCAGCTTGGTGGCCAATCTGAGGAGTCTGTTTATCCCGTGATGCTTCAGGTCTGTTCTCACATTGGAGGCAGCCGAGGTAGGGTGTGTGGACTTTACCAGCAATGGATTGGATTTGAATTTCCTGGCTCTACGTACCTACTGTGTGACCATGTACAATTTGATTGCTGTCTCTGTGCCTTGATAGCCTCCTCTGTAAAACAGGATGATGTTACCACCTTATGAGGGCTAAGAGCTGTTAAGCACTCAATATATGGCCTTGTTAAAAAGTCATACATTTGTTCAACATAAAAATCCTTCAAGTGCCTGTGCTACACTGAGCCCTTAGATGAGCCTTCATGGGCCAGTGAACTTGGACCCAAAGATCAGCTACAGAACTAAGGTGGGGCTCCATCTTCTTCTAGTTGGTGCAGACCTTTGTTATGTAATCTCTCACTAAACTCTTAAGTCAAATTTCAGGCGTGGGCTATCCTGCACCCTAAATCTAGTTAGAGACCTAGCTTGGAGAAGGCAGCCTTGCTAGGAACAGGAGACCCTGCAGGCCCTCACCAGCCACCTGCTTCTACAGCTGGGCCAGGGACTTAGGACAAGCTGGCCCAGAAACCCAGGCAACCTCTTCTCCCACCCCAGCACATGGAAGAATGGAAGGAAGTCAGATTGTGAGAAAAGCAGGGCGTGTGTGGGAGCCCGTGTACCTTGGGTGCCTTTCATTTTCCACAGAGGAAAGAGCAGACACAGAAGTGTGGGGGTGGGGTGAGTGAAAAAGCCAGCTCAGCCAAGCACTTTTTTTTTTTTTTTGTGGGGTCTTAATTAAGCCTGGAGGCTCCATTGTTCCTTTCAGGGTGAAACATATGTTCAGGGACTGGCTGAGGTTGGGGACAGGAATTTCAATGGTGCTAGGCCCTATAGCCTGCCAGAGGAGGGGGGGTGGGCGGAGAGGAGTTGGGGAGTAACTGTCCCTAAGCCTTAGAAGAATCAATCATGTTTCCAGCCCAACCTCTCTCACAGTCACCTTTCCCTGGAGCAGGTAATTTAACAACCAGAGCCCCTGTCCCAGTGTGGGGAAGTGCCTGTAGGTTCTAGCAGAGCCAGCTCGATTTCAAACCTTGTCCTCAGCAGGCAGGACCGTCTTCAGTGGCACTCAGTTTCCCCACATGTATCATTCAGATAAAGCAGTCTAAGAAAAGGCAGTCATTTCCATGAGCCGGAGCCCTCCAAATGGTCAGGTGTTCACATCATGCACCGGGATTCAGGAAAAACAAGCAGAGAGTTTGACATGTGGTCCTCGGGGTTTGAAGAAGGAAGGAGCTTGTATCAGATTCTTATCTGAAAATTTTAAAGGAAAGACCTAGGAGCGCCACTGCCTGGGGTGGCAGGAAGAGAAAAGACTTCCTTGAGAACATCAGGCTTTTCCAAAATGGATCAAAGGATCCATGGGGCCCGGGTTAGGTGGGGATCCTGATGAAGAAAGCCAGGCTGGGCCACCCTAAAAGTGTGAAAGGAGTAGGTGATTCCTGAAAAAACAAAAACAAAAAACAAAGGCAGGTGTTGCAAGTAAAACCTGCTCAGCCCACAACTGTGACGCTCCCCACAGCCCACAGCAGCTCCCAACACACAAAGAAAGGAAGCGTCTACAAAGAAAACAATGAGGAAGTGGACAACAGACAACAAAGAGAGTGTAGGTAGTTTCTCTTCATCGGAGCAGAGCTAAGGACCCAAGCCTGTTGTCCTGAGCATGGAAGCAAATACTGGGCGGCTGAGATATCTCTCAGTCCAGTGGTGAGAAGCGGCGCCTCCATTCTGCCATTGCCCTGAGAACATTGAGAATATTTCAACTGAAGGATTGAAGGCATTTAGCTTTTCCAACCAACAACCTGGCTTTTGATAACTGAATCCTAAGACAAAAATGCAGAAATATGGAAAATACAAGCATGACAACTCCAAAACTCAACAACTACATGGCAACAAACAATCATAAAGTGAATGAAATCTCAGACAAAGAATTCAAAAATATGATTATAAGAATGGTCCATGACTCTGGGCAGGAGTGACTCATGCTTGTAATCCTAGCTACTCAGGAGGCTAAGATCTGAGGATCATGATTGAAAGCCAACCTGTACAGCAAAGTCCTGGAGACTCTAATTTCCAAGCAGAAAGCCAGAAGCCAAGGCTCACATGGCAGAGAACTATTCTTAAGTGAAAAAAACAAACAGGAATGAAAGGCCCTGAGTTCAAGCCACAATGCTGGCATGAATAAAATGTGGAGATAATGGTAGAGAATTTCCATAATGCTGGAAGCAGCACTTACTGGGTCATTATGAGGAAACTCAAAAGATCTGAATACCAATGGGAATGTGAAAAGTAAAGCCTGCTTGCTGAGGTTTCAGATAGGAATGAGGATTCCATTCAGGATTGAACTAAAAGTCATTTGGGTTGCATTTTGGCAAAGAATTTATTTTCATTTTGTATTTTGTTTATGCCCTATAATCTGGTGGAGGAAATTTCATGTCAGTCCAGATTCCTGGCTATCATATGTGTGTTGCTGGCTACTTTTAGCCAAATTTGTACTGAGAATGAGGAGCAAAAAGCAAAGTATAAGGATCTGAAAAAACATGGCCAGAAAAGAAGCACTTGTAAAGTTAGAGCAAAGAAGGTATTCTTGGCTAAAGAAATGAGCCCCACCAAAAGAAGCTAGTTCTAAAATACACTAGGACATAATAAATTATACAGGCTTCTAGGCATTCACACACAGCGAGACCAAAGGCGGATAGTCTTAGGAGAGGAACAGAAA